GAATGCATTTCCCTCCCTTCCCACCCTGCCTCTCAGAGGTGGACAGCTAAGGAGGAGGTGGGGCTGAGCCAATCCCAGCCTGGCTCCAAACTGCTGTGGGGGAGCCCAAAAGCTTCCTGATGGGGGCTTCTCCCCTTGTAGACTCTGGCTGGAGGAGCAAGTATCAGGCAACCTAGGAGGTGGAGGCTGGGGAGAGGGTAGGGCTGAGCTGATCCCAGACTGGCTGGCTTGACTACAATGAGGGGAGCAAAAAGCCTCCGCCACAGGGGCTTTTCCCCTTCTTCCTGTACAGCCTGGGACTAGGGGGTTCTATGGGTCTGTTCCCCTGCCCTCCATCCTGCTGGGCTGACACGCCCAGGCAGGAAGCAGGCTAGGGAGCAGAGGCTTTGGTGACTCAGCTGTGACAGCTGGGGGCAGTGCCAGCCCTGTTGCGCTGGAGGAGACAGCACAGCCCAGGGCTGTAAAGCATTCTGGGAATTGGGTGACTGATAATTAATTTGAGTCAGGAGGGTATCTAAGACAGAAGTTCCTTAAACCAGTTTAATCTAAATCAGTTAAGTCTGATACTACATCCAACCAGGTTTATCTTAAACTAGTTTGTGCCATTTTGAAAGAGGTTTATGTGCGCTGAACTTTTATTCTGTTACAGTTAAACCAGTTTCCAATCATTGAAGCCAGTTTATGTGTAACTTCTGTCTCTAGCCATAAAAATAAAAGACTATTAAGGCTGCCTGGCAAGAGCTATGATCAAATACTAATATAATTTACTCCTGACTAGCATGCAAGGAAATAGTTTAGATGAATAGTTTTATTTACTGAAAGTGGTAGTTTGGGGTCATCTGAAGGTATTGGTGCCAAATTTAACAAATTGTTTCACCTGAAACAAGGGGGAAATTTTTTTCTGTAAATTTGAAATGTTCCTCTGTCATTTATCCCTCTGTCACTTTCAAAACCAAGCATTTTGATTTTTCATCTCAAATTAATGTTTGAAAATATATTTAACTTTTTTTTTTTTTAAGAAAAGGGTAAAAATCATCTAAAATATAACATTTCATTTTGGGATCTAAACATTTTTTCAGCATTTAATTTTTATGCTGAAACAATATTACTATCAGATTGACTCAACTTTTTTTTCTGTCCATCATACCCAGGGGCAACGTGTAGGGGGTGCATGTGCACACCCTAAGAGTGCCGGTGCACCCCCTGTCCGGCTGCGCTCCCTGTTTAGCCGGTGGGTAGGGGGGCAGTCAGAAACAGCAGGGCCCCCCCGGTGAACGCCAGCTGGGGAGCAGGGTCACCAGCAAAAGCGGCCGCGCTGCTTCTGGTGGCCGTGGGAGTTCCCAAAGCAGTGCGGCCGCTTTTATGGTGAGTGAAATCGGCCGCATGATTGGCCGCCAGGGGACCCCTCCTCACCTCTCCCTGGCCAGCAGGATTGGCCCCCAGGGGACCCTGCCCCCCAGTCACTGGCAGGTGTGAAGTGGGGGCATGTGGTCTCCCTGACTCAAGAGACACCAGACACCCATGATCACACCAAAAAAATCAGTTATTCCGATTGATCAACTCCTGACCTGCAGCACCTTTGCCATTATAATCTTGGGAGTTGTCTTAAGTACACAATGTTAAACTATATAATTTTCTTTCTAAACAAAGGGTGAAGTCTGGACACTCAAATTCATTCTCAACTGCAAACTAAGCAGGATTTGAAACCCAGTTCTCTGGAGGTGAAAGGCAGGTGTAATGAACAACTGTTCAGTCACTGCCCAGATGTTTAGTTCTTTTTGGGAATACGGAACTAAGTTAAAAATACCCTTCTAGAGATGACATGGATGTGACTTCGTGCAGCAATAGTATGATCCAAAGGAAAAATCGCAGAGCTTTTGGGAGTCAGCAGCTGCCACTACCCAGAACACTGATATCAGACAGAGAGGCCAGAAACAATTCTAGCATTCTAGCTTAAACATGCAGCCAGCTTCCTTTAGCGCAGAGTAAATGGTGAAATATTTTTCCCTTTTCTATGGCCAGTGCTGAATTCCACAGGAGACTGGTGGTTTTGCCATTGTTGGGGGTGCAGGAAACTTGTTGCCTTGAGCATAGACTATCATGGAGATGTCCTATCTTGTCAGGAAATAAGGAACACAAACGAAAGGGCTTATTGTTCAAGTGTGCAGAGGGTGTCCAATCTCATACAGCTATAACAAGATCAAAATCAAAGGCTGAATTTCTCATGATAGCAGCAAGAGGTGGGGTACTGGATTTAAATGGCTAAAATGCCTTTTAAACCCTATTTGTATTATAGGAAAAATATTTGTTGTAACATCTCCATTAGTCAGCCTGAACTAATATAAATTATACAATTTATATTATACAATAGATTCAACAGCATTGCATATATCCATTCTAAAAGAACATGTTAATAGACAAACTCTTACTTAGGAAGCCACAAAGTGGTATAAATCCTTGTTACTGTCAGAAAGCAAAGTGCCTAACCCTGTAGTCACTGAAGTCAATGGCATGATTCCAGTTGACTTAAATGGTGTTATGCTGAGGCCTTTTTTTGAGGCATATGAAGTTTTAAACAAAGACTTTCAGATTAAGTCAAAAGCCAGAATAAGGTCTTACATTAATTAAATTACAGTGACATTAATTAAATTACAATGCATTATTTGGCTGTTTCTGAATTTGAATTTTTTTAAACTTTAACTGTAGAGCTGGTTCCCAAGTTTTACTTACACACACACACACACACACACACACACACACACACATTGTCCTTCCCAAAGTTTGCCATTTTAAATTTTTTATTGCAATCATTAAATATATCTAAGGCTATAAAAATAACTCTAAAAATAAATTAATTTGGGGGGGTCAAAAGAAAATTAGGAAATATTTCATAAAAATGAAGCAGGTGTGAAAAAAGGAAAACTTTAGATCCCCGGTTTTTGTTTTGTCTTCCAGGGCAAAGGTAACTTGCACATACATTGGAGATTTCAGGTTTTCTTATTTCTCATGTGGATTTCACTTTGTATCAGATGTTTGATGATTACCTGTTAACTACTTATTTTCATTTTTGTGCATTATCTTCACGTTTGTATTTATAAATATTAAATATATGTTTGTGTCATAACTGTAGAAATTTTCTAAAAACCACAGAGATCCCAACCATCCAAACACTTGTACAGGAACTTTACTCCAGTGGGCTTATTCATATACCTGGAGCCGTGGTTCTCAACCAGAGTGCTGCAGCACCCTGAGATGCCATCAGATCCTTTGAAGGTACTATCAAGTGTGAGGAGATAAGCAGACAGGCTCAGGCTTGTCCCTGCCTGACTGATCCACCACCCCAATGCCTAGCCCCTCTGTAAGGTGGTAAACACTGGAATATATTTTTTAATTTTTTTAATTGGATGCCACTCAATTCACAAAAATTATGGAGGGGTGCCTGCAGTCCAATGAGGGGTGCTTGGAGTCTGAAAGCTTGAGAACCAATGGCCCAGAGTTAAGCACTTGCATGAGTGGTAGCTAGGCCAAGAATTGTTCCTTACAAATCAAAAATAGTAAATAAGAAGTCAGTAGTATCTTGTTAAACAGTTTGTGGGCCCACTAATATATGTAGGCATCTACTGTTCCATATATATATTAAAAACTACTGTTCTACATACTGTTTTACATACTACACAGACACATATGTCATCCATCACTAGATGAAATGGCTTATATGGCTGTTCTGTCTGTTTTTTTAAATAAAGAATAAAGTGAGCACTACTAGAAAGCTCCCAAATTATTTCAAGGGATACTATCTGCTGTTTTTCATTTAAATTTAAACTGTCAGATGGCTACATTTTCTTAATAATCTGACCTTTTAAATTAAAAAGCATTCTTGAAGGATTGTTTAAAGGACACTTTACACAAGAACCCCCTGCTGAAATTCTCCATTCTCCTATGTTTCAGCAGTTGTTTGAAAATCAGGCCTGGTGCTGTTTAATGATTGTTGCACGCCCTGGGAAGGAGCAGAAATGTCATGCTGTTAATTATACTCATTATGAAAATTACCATCTGAATATGCATTGCATATTTGTGAATGCTGGCAATTAGAGATGGGTAGGGAGTTTTTTAGCGCTGAAATCCCTGCCTTGAATCATGGGGAGAGTGGACTTGAAACAAGGGCACCCATGTGCCTGGTGAGTGTTCTGACCAGCAGGCTCTAAGGTATTCTGAGGCAGAATTTATCTGTTAGATTTATATCATATATGTATTAGAGAGAGAGAGAGAATGAAAAGGACATTGTTTAAGCACTCAGCTTGGAGTTGGGATGTGATGCCTAAATTTCAGTCTCTGTTCCAGTAAAGTGGAATAGCATAGACAGAAGTTTGTGGGCCCTCCCACCTCAGAATACCCAATATCATGGAAATCAAGATATTCTCTGGAGGGACAGGAAATGTTGGTCCAGTTCCCTTGAGGAGGAACCCACCTTCCAAATTAATGTTGTAACCATGAAGCCAGTGGACAGGTTGGGGGGAGAACACCAGCAGGTTTCCACATATAATTGTTGTTTTCCTTCGCTTTTCTTGCAGGTGACCAATGCAAACCATTTCACGTTGAAAGAAACTGAATTTTTCAGGTTATTTTTTCAGGAAAAAAAATCAAAAATTTAATTTTTTCAGATTTTCTGTCCGTTTTGTAGCCACACTAACAAAATCAATTTTTTGCACAGCCCTAGTGGTATGACGCCATCTGAAACTAAATTTATGTCACCTAGTGGTCAAAATATGTATTGCAACCCTAACACATTCCTAAAGCACACTTTCCTTTTTTCCTCCCTGACCCCTGAGCCCCCTCTTCCTCAGGCGATAAGGAAATGCAGCTACTGTTTTCCTTCTGCTCTTACTTAGGAATGTTGCTTAGGTATGTCAATAATGTCAGTGCAATGAATGAGAGAGTTAGATTTCATTCATCAGGTTTGAATGAGTTCTGACTTCTTCAAACTTTTTCTCTGAATTCAGATATAGATGAGTGCTCATTTGAAAGGACCTGTGATCATACCTGCATCAACTACCCAGGAAGTTTTGAATGTCTCTGTCACAAAGGCTACACGTTGTATGGAATGACACATTGTGGAGGTTTGGAGACTGAGTTTTACCGCTATATTTCTTTTTGTACAATCATGTACTAAGTGATGGATGTTTACCTTTGCTGAGACTTCAGCACTGAAAATGCCAGATTAAGATTAAACAAACATGGCCAGGTATGAAAACATTGCAGAATCTCAAAACTGCCTTAGATATTCTTGGGAGAAGAGTATCTGAAAAAGAATAACCCTTGCTGCATTATGTAAAGGTGCCAAGCTGGACCATGATCCTGAATTTTGATCTGTGCAAGCCAGTTGCTATGTCTCCATGAAGCCCCACTGAAGTCAAGGAGGCTTTGCACAGACTTCTTCGTCTTCACAAGACAGGCCTTGGGCCCCTGATTGAGACTCCTTTCTATATAATGGACAGTGTGGTCTCTTCCCAAAGAGCTTAAGACCAATGGCCATGATCTTACAAACATGTAACACACATGAGTAAAGTTACTCGCATATGAGTTTATAGGATCAGGGTCTAAGATGTTCACATAGCAGTGTCTACTTTCAAAGTATTTTGTAGACATATGTAGCCAACTCTCTAAATTAGGAAAAATAAGTAGTGCTTATCCCTATTTTTGAAATAGGAAGTGGCACATAGTTTATGGGATTTGCCATAATTTGCTTACTTACTTAATAAATTAATTAGTTTAAGGTAGTGTTGGAGTGATGTTGTAGCTATGATGATCCAGGAAAAATTCAAGAGGCAAAGATCTTTGTCTGTGATATATTTTATTAGACCAACTGTTAATTTAAATTAATTTAAACCATAAATATTTACTTGTATTCAGCCACTATTAGGCCTCTGGTATAGCTGATTCCCAATTCCAGTGTCAATAAGCTACCCGTATCCCTCACCCCTGATCTACACAGCTCCTTTTAATTTGGATCAAGTAAGAGCATAGTGGCTTTTAGCCATCTAATTGACAATGTGTGTTCCAAGGGCATCCTAAACTATTTGTTTGCCCCACAACATCTACAGGATCAGCTTTCTATCAGCCTCTACAGGAAGGGAAACTTTCATGTTCATTCCTGAATGTAAGTCTACTCTGCATCTGTAGTAGCTCACACTCCATGTCCATTTGCCACTCAGCTGGCTAACGCAGTGTGGTCTCCTGTCAGAACATTTAATAAGTCTTTTGGTTATGTCCCAAATATTGTTCAAAGGAAAACAAAGGTTTGCTTTTTGGGATACATGAGGAGTCTTTAGTCTGAATTATGTTTTTAACCAATCAGATCAGCATTATACAAATATTGTGCAAACAAATCGGGTAATAGGAAGTAGTCCATTTTTCCACCTTAAGGCTTTTCATGTAAATTATTGTTAGAAAACACTGAAGTCCAAAAGGAATCTTTCCTTTTTTTAACTATAAAACAAATAGGTTTTGTTTGATAAACATAGAATTTGGGTTTTGTCCATAGTACTTTAAAATTATGCAAAGTATAATCTAAGAAAAACTGTAAACAGAAGCATTGGCTGATAACATGAAGTATCTAATTTTAAACCAACAAAAGTAAACTTTATATGTTGATACATGTCAGTCTAAAGTAAATCTTTTTCGCTCAGTGAAGTTACTGGGAACAGAATCTGGCCCTAATAGTTCTGGCCCTATTTGTGCTCATTTATCATGGTAAATAGTGAATGTAAGATTTGTTTCTCATGTGTTAACGGGGAGGTCTCTTAGTGCTAAAGAATAAACAGGGCAGCCAAGCATAGTTAGTTCTATCCTGGTTCTAGTTACACACCACGCAACTGATTCTGAAGTATTTGCCCAGATGTAATCAAGAACAGGGTTTAGTTAATTGTTTCTATCTGAACTCTGAGTTCCCCTGGTTTTGTGGAGTTAACTTTTGACATCCGTGCCTACCTTCTTTTTAGAAGAGAAGCTGGGGTGGATGGAGACAGGATCCTTTGTGTGGAGTGGGGTTTATGCATGCTGTGAATTAAATAGATAACAGAGCTTTCCCTGCAGCTGAGAAGAGAGCTACAAGGAGTTCATCCAGAAAGGATCCTGAAGAAAAAGTCTACATTTAAGGGGCAATGATGGAAGCATGATCAGAGCTTGGGAGCATTAAGGATCTAAGCCAGTTTGTGTGTGGGGAGGGGTTGACCCTTGAATTTTTGGAGGCTCCAGAGTTTTGCATTAAACAGATCTTTAATTTAAACAATGAGGCAGATCTCACATCCTAGATTCAAATAATTCCATGTTTTTTGGGCAAGGCTGAATCCAGATCCTAAAACCTCATTTGGCCCTTACTTCTGTAATGAGTAGAACCAAATCTCAGATCTGAATCTAACTTCTTCAGATCCTGAGCTTTTTCATCCCAGGCCTAGCATTAGTTATAATCTATATCAGGAGATGGATGTTATGAGAGCAATGGGTATTGCCCATGTAGCAGAGAGGATAAATCAGAGTTGAAGGAAAATAGGAAATTTCAGAATCTTCAGAAGATCCAGATAAAGTTTGTCTCTTAGTGCCATGCTTTAATATGAGACAGAGGACGGTTATGTAATAGAATTTAGCTGTGAGATCATAATATGTAACATTTCACAAAAGGTCTTTTGTGAAGCTGTATTCCAAGCAGTATTACAGTATGACCAGTCCCAAACACTTAAAGATCATGACTCGGGCCCTATCAAAATCATGGCTCTTCTCTGAACCCTCTTCCACTTGAAGTACAAGATCCAAAACTGGATGTGGCATTTTAGCAGTGGTCACACTATAGTGCCGAGCGAATATAACCTCTATGGTCCTACTTGATGTTCTCCTGTCTATACATCTAGGCATTACATTCACCCTTTTGGATACAGCATCGAACTGGGAGGTCATGCTCAGTTGATTATCCACAATGACCCCTAAGTCCTTTCTCAGTCACTGCTTCTAAGGCCAGTATTCTTTGTTCTTCCCTTCTATGACCTTGTGTATGGTTATATTGAAACACACATTATTTTCTTGTGCCCAGTTTAACTAAGTGACCCAAGCTGCTAATGACCTGCCGTTTTCTTTTATTTGCCATTGGCATGTGTTAGCATTGATTTTAGTTTTGTCCCTCGCATCACTGATATAAATGTTGAGTAATTCAAGGCCAAAGAATCCTAGAGATACACCCACATGATGATTTCTCTTTTACACTTACATTAGGCATGTCTACACGAGCGTATTTAATGCACGTTAGCCCAATTTAAGGCACATTAAGGGTGCATGTCTACACATGTGTACTCTTAATGCACCTTAAAAATGATGATTTTAGGCTATTTGAGACTAAATTTGATACCTGCATAAAGCAGATATCAAATTTTTATGCACAATTAGCTAAGTCACATCAAGAAATGTTTAGAGGCATGGTCTGCATCAATGGATAGACTCTAGGGGTGTGCAAAATGGGCTGTATTCAATTCAGATTCAAATCAGGGGGGTTGGGGAAACTGCACCCCAAATACTTGAAAGCAAAACTCATGTCCGCAGGGGCTAGCATGCCTGCAGTTTTGACCCTGCTGTGGCTTAACACATACAAGTGACATGAGTTTTGCTTTCAAGAATTTGGTGTGTAGTTTCCCCGAACCCCCTGCACCTAACTCCTTGAAACTTGGCAGACTTCATGCCCTCAGAAGGGGCTACCATTCCTACAAGTGTCATCCAAATCAAGCCAGAAATAACAAAGTTATAGGCTGTTTTGTCCTTCCCCATTATATCCTATGGGCAAAACGTCAAAACAGTTTTGCCATTTCAACCCTGTTTCGAGGGAACAAAACAGAACAGCTGTTTCAAATTGAAACAAAATTCTAAATGAAACGCTGTTCCATCAAAACACTGGTCGAAACTTACCCTTATCACTGATTGCCATTGTCAGCAACAATGTGCAGTAGCTGCAATAGGGAACACAACAGCGTGCCTATACTGCTGCTGCTGCCACCACAGCACAGACATCCGGGGGAGAGTTCCATCCTGTTGCCTCTGTTAACTGAGCTCCTGGGGCTAATGTCCAATTTGTCAACCCTAGTTGCACTACTGCAGAAGTCTAAATATATTGCATCAACTCTATTACCTTTATCAATCAAATTGAACATTGCATCAAAAGGACAAGTGTTGTCTCTTGTTCTGCCTTTGTATAGTGCCTAGCACAAAAGTTTATGACCTTGGCTCCTAGATGCTACAGAAATACAAATAACTAATAAAAAAAAACATGATATTGAGTTAGTTTGACAATGCCTACTTTATACAACCCCCTGTCAGTTGGTTATCCTTCTTTTAACACTTCATAAAGTAAGTGGTATATCAGCCAGCATATTAATGAAGTCTTATATAAATGCTGATCGAGTAGACTAAACAAATTATGCTTAATTGTGACCAAATATCTATCAAAGATATCTATCTATCTATCCCACAACCAAAGTTTAAAGCCTTTAACTGATGTATCAGCAACATATTTTTGGTAATTGCCTTGCTTGCCTCTAACAAGATTCCTTCTCATTAGTATTCCTCTGACTGGTAGACTAAACAAAGTATGTTCTCTCTACTCTGTTCCTATCAAGTATGTATTTTGTCTGTTAACCATTATCCATTTCTAAAACTATATATTCTGGGTGATATTATGAATAACTTATGTTTCTAATATGCAAGAATGGATAAATCTCTTGTATATTTGCCCCTTTGAAGTTGTTGGTATTGTTTAGTATACATTATGGCCTTGATCCTACTGACAGTCACACTCGCTTTATATATGTGAGTTGATTTTACAGATTTCAATGTGACTGCTCGTAGTGCAAAAATGTAATCATGCACTTGAGTCTTTGCAAAATTAGGAGCTGTGTGTGTATCTATACACTCTGTGCACTAAAACTGTTTTGTGAGTGTATATGTCTGCATTGTATATATAATTAAAATGTGAACATTATACATGACGTACAATAGATACATATCCTGACTTGTTTCAATACATACTTTCAGATGTTGATGAATGCAGCATCAGCAATGGTAGCTGTGACTATGGGTGCATTAACACAATGGGAAGCTATGAGTGCATCTGTCCACTTGGAAAGAAACTACACTGGAATAAAAAGGACTGTGTTGGTAAGTGAGTATCTTCCTTTTGGGTTGTATCATTTGGGCATAGTAATATGGAAAGAGATGCTTGAGAAATGTCCAAAGTGTTTGTATTTAGTTGTGTAATAAATTGGTGTGCGCCCAATTTTGGACCCATTTTGTAGCCTCAGATAGTAGGGTAAAATCCTGGCTCCACTGAAGAAAATCTTCAGTTTAGCCATAGTCACACTTTTTTTTCCTAAAGTTTTTCAGTGTTATGGAAGGTAATTTGGTAATTCAGTCATTCCTGTTTTGACCATGTCCACTGTCTCTCTAGGTCATTGATTCTCAACTAGGGTGCTGTGGCAATCTGGGGTGCCATGGCACTCTGGGGTGCCTTGAGATCGTTCCAATGGTGCCATGAGGTGCCACATAATGTTGTCACTGTTAGGTTTACAAATGTGATTCACAAGATGAACCAAGAGATTTCAAATAGAAGTCCATCTGAGTTCTTTGCGACAGGAAAACTGCGCTATTATTTTTCTGTAGTCACAAAAAGATTGAAAACTTTGACACACAAAAAGAGTCACACTAAGAGTGACAACTACCTGCTGTAAGTATTTTAATTTAACACATTTTTCTGAGCAGGGGGTGTTCAATTGTTCGTGAAACTGGTAAAATCCTTTTTATCTAAATAACTTCTGGCTGACACATTTAGCATCTGATCCTGCACTCCTTTTGCAGTTGAAACACCTCTTAGTCCAATTAGGATTCTGACTGAAAACTCTGGTATCACACTCATATTTAAAACAGCATATGCTGATCATAGAGGCAGTCTTTGTTTAAAACAGTGATACTTACCCAAGGTGTTGCAGCACTCTGGCCTTCCTTGAGATCCTTTCAAACTTGCTGCAAAGTGCCACGCAACATTAGCACTGTTGGGCATGCAAACATGATTCACAAGACAAACCCAGAGACTTCAAATAGGAATTCATACCATTGAAAACATTCTAAGCTTTGGTGGTCTTTCTGAGTTCCTTGCACCAGAAGAATTACTCTATTATTTTTCTGTAGTGAAAAAACAAGTGAAAAGTAAACCTGGGGTGCTTGAGTCTAAAAAAGTTGACACCCGCTGGGTTAAAAGCAGTCAGTCAGCCTTGGTGGTGTATGTCAGCATCTAGAAGACAAGTGATCACATCGTGAAAATAAAGAATGTATTAATTGGCAAATATCAGTGATGGCATGGAAAGAAACAAGAGTCCCTGCAGGAAGTCTCCCAAAAAAGGGCTGAGCACAAATGTCTGGGAGCACTAACTACAAGATGCTGGCTTAGTCTTTTGGGGAAGTTTTGTTTTGATGATTAAAAATCATCAGCCCACAGATCCACGTCATCTGGCCCACAAGGCTCTCCATGGGTCCAAGGAAATTTGTCGGTGGGGAATGGTGACAGTGTTAATTTCCACCATTCCTCACTGTCAAATTTCCAAGACCCACATGGGTAGATTGGCCCTGCCTGGGCTGGCCCCATGAAGAAGGATTGGGCCCCAGCCCTGCACAGCTGCATTAGGCCCCACTGCATGCTGGATCAGGCCTGCAGATCGAATTGGCACTGCTTATCCAACCCACAGACTAAAAGGCTAGG